GGACTGGTCACCTAGTTGGATTCGTCACTTACTAAGTGGTGAGACTGCTACTTCCATATTTCCTAAGTCACAGACCTCTAAAATGACTATTTCAAACCTGTGCTTTTTGCATGAAGTGTTTTTCATAGACATGCACTTAACCACAATTCTGGCAGAGGCTGCAGGGAATACCTTGATTAAGTAGTGCAAGTGAGAGGGCAGGGAGAGAGTGTGCGTCAGTTACCTTTGAATTTTACAGTTAGTTTAACGATAACTCAATTGTACTATGAAAACACGAGGCCCATGGTTAACTAGACTTTCTGCCAGGATATACTTTGCAGTCCATGAAGCCGTGCTGATGGACTTCCTTATACAGAATTTTAAACACATATTTCCAATAGCTTGTACAACCTCATACAAATAAAAAGCTTAATGACTGCTGGCAGCTATCAGTTCAGTTCAGTTGCTCAGCTGTCCAACTCTTGGTGACCCCATGGACTGCAGCATGCCAGGCTTCCCTGTCCATCATCAACTCCTGGAGCTTGATCAAACTCATGTCCATCAAGTCGGTGATGCCATCCAACCATCTTATCCTCTGTCGTCCCCTTCTCCTCCTGCCTTCAATCTTGCCCAGCACCAGGGTCTTGTCTAATGAGTCAGTTCTTCACATCAGGTGGCCATGGTACTGAAGCTTCAGCTTCAGCATCAGTCCTTCCAATGAATATTCAGGACTGATTTCCTTTAGGATTGACTGGTTGGATCTCCATGCAGACCAAGGGACTCTCAAGAGTCTTCTCCAACACCACAGTACAAAAGCATTAATTCTTCAGCACTCAGCTTTCTTTATAGTCTAACTCTCACATCCATACATAACTACTGGAAAAACCATAGCTTTGACTAGACAGACATTTGTCAGCAAAGAAATGTCTCTGCTTTTTAATATGCTGTCTAGGTTGGTCATAGCATTTCTTCCAAGGAGCAAGCGTCTTTTAATTTCACGGCTGCAGTCACCATCTGCAGTGATTCTGGAGCCCAAGAAAATAAAGTCTGTCACTGTTTATGGCAGCTATAGGTAAGCAAACAACTTGAGGCAAGATGAATAATCTGTCCTCCCAGTTTCACTAGCTTCACTGGAAAGTCAGAAACATCGAAGGTCCTTGTTAAGAATGGCCAGTTCTATAGCCTAAGAGTACTAACACAAGGAACTTCAGAGTTCTCAGGGGAAGTTTCTTCCTCATGTGAATGCTTCCCTAGGCAGTTTAAGGAGGGGTGACTTAAGGATCCGCTGGGAACAGGTGACCCACAACTTCCAACCTGGTATCCTTATGATGCTCACCTGCACACTGGCTAGCATGGCTGTTCTCATACAAGTTCAAATGGAAGTCAGGGAATGCGGACAGGTGCTGACATGTGTGAATGTTGGGGAGGGTGGGGTCAAAAAAGGAGAACCACAAAACTATGTAATAATAACAACAATGTAAAATTTGTATATAAAATGTGTATTTAAAACAAAATCTTAAGTTCCACCATATCTGATGTTGATATTGGAATTCCTGTTGTTTGCATTTACTTGTTACCGTTTTCTTTATTATTAAGTTCCTTTTATCACTATCTTATAAACAACATATAATTGTACTTTCATAACCCAGTCTAATGGTCTATCCTTTAATGAGAGAATCCAGCCCATTTTCATGCACTTGATTTTGCTCCCATCTTACTCTGTGTTTATCACTGAAATTTCACTGTTGTTTCCTCTTCCTTGGATATGCCAGTGTGATCCAGTTGCTAAAAATTCCATACTTCTTGGGCAGGGGTTGCTGCGAGGCTTGAGGGATCTTGGTTCCTTGACCAGGGATTGAACTTTGGGCCCTCAGCAGTGAAGTGTGGAGTCCTAACCACCGGACCACCAAGGAATTCCCACAAACTCCATATTTTATTAATTCAGTTCTTTTTAAAAACAATTTATTTTTGGCTACGCTGGATCTTCATTGCTATGAGGGCTTTGCTGTAGCAAGCTGTAGCAGGCAGGGGCTACCCTCCAGCTGTGGTGAGCAGGCTTCTCACTGCGGAGCACGGGCTCCAGGCTGTGCGGGCTTCAGTGGTTGCAGCTGCCAGGCTCTACAGCACAGGCTCAGTATTGGTGGCTCATGGGCTGAGCTGCTCTGCTAAGCTCCACATTCCAGGGACTGTGGAATCTTCAGGGACCAGGGATCAAACCAGTGTCTGCTGGGTTTAAACCACAAAACTACATAATAAGAGTCTAAAATTTATTAGATCATTTTAATAACCTAAGTAGATTTATTTAGATTATTAAATAAATTTAAATTTAATAATAAATTAATGTATTTTATTTAGGCAGGTGGATTCTTTACCACTGAGCCACCAGGAAAGCCCCCAGAAGTTTTCTTAAACTTTTCTATTATTGGTTACTTTCCTTTTCACTGATCTCAAAAGCAGACATAGATTTCTTTACTATTATTTGAAAACAAGGTACCAATTCGTTCAAGAACAAAGTCTCCCATGAGCAGTGCTCTAGTCTGCACATTTCCCACAAAGAAGAAAACTTCAGAATACCTGCACTGCCCACCCACTTCCTTGTCTGCTAGATGAGCCACAAAAATGCATTTATTTCCACTTTGTGCCCTGAAACCTTGAAGATACCTAGGGCAGGGTGTGCTTAGATACCCTAGAATTTAAAGACTGAGGTATTATTGGATGTTATATAATTACATATAAAGATACATATTCTACATTACACACACACACACAAATCTGTATTATGTAAACACACCACTCTCTCTACTACTTTCTCCTTCATCTTAGAGTTCTGTTCTACTTCATTTGTTGAATGGTTAAAGTCCTTATTTAATTATTTTCCTCAGACAGGGCTTCTGGGGAAATACATCTCTGAGTTTTATGTATTAATATAATGCCCAAAGGAATACCTCTTGTGCCCTGAAGGGTGAACAATCACTTGGCTGGTGTGGGACTCTCAGGTTATGATCCTTTTCCATCTGGGATTTCTAATCAGGTGAGACACTGTTATTACTGCTTTACACAGTAGGAAAAGATGCTGGTGCTGGGAAAGATTGAAGGCAAAAGGAGAAGAAAGCAGCAGAGGATGAGAGGGCCAGATGGCATCACCGACTCAATGAACATGAGTTTGAGCAAACTCCGGGAGATGGTGAAGGACAGGGAAGCCTGGTGTGCTGCAGTCCATGGGGTCGCGAAGAGTCAGACACGACTGAGTGACTGAAAAACAACAAATGTGTTTGTGTTCAGCCCACATTCACAGTTTCTTGCTCCTCACTCGTTCTTACCTTTCAGGCCTCCCACTTGGGACTTAGGACTCATTTTGCTTCTGCTTTAAGCACATCCTTCAGAATTTTCCTTTGAGAATCTGCTAGTTACAATTTGTGTCATTTTCATATTTCTGAAAGTCTTGATTTCACCTTCATTTTTGAAAGTATTTATGCTAGGTATAAGGGATCCCAGGGGGCACGGTGGTAAAGAATTTGCCTGCCAATGCAGGAGACACAATCCATTCTAGTTATTCTTGCCTAGGAAAGCCCATGCACAGAGGAGCCTGGCAAGCTATAGTCCATGGGGTCGCAAACAGTCAGATATGACTGGGCAACTGAACTGAGCAACTGAGCACATTCTAGGTACAAAACTCTAGGAAGGCAGTTATTTTCTTTTATCACATTGAAAACACTATTCCACTGTTTCCTAACATCAACCTACTGCTGCCACGAAGCCAGCTGTTAGTCTGCTGTTCTAATTTTTTTCCCTCTAAGTTTAATATTGTCTCTTTATTTTTTTTTTTGCTATGATATGTCCTCTTTTTATTTATTCTACTTTGGAATTTTGGAACCTGTGGATTATAGACTTCCATCAGTTCTGGAAAATTCTCTTCAAATATAACGCCCCATTCTCTCTCCTATTCTTCTGGAACTCCAGTTATACAGATGCTAAACCATCTGCTCTATCCTCCACTTTTCTAAACTTCTCTAACTTATTTTCTGTTTTTGGATCTTTGTGCCACATGCTGGATAATTTCTTCTGACCTACTAAGTTTAAAATTTTTCAGTTATTATATGTGTATTTCTCAAAATCCAATTATGTTCTGTTTAAAATTTGCTACATCACTTTTTATAGCTTCCTATTCCTTGAAGATATTTCCAAGCTTGTCCTATCTTTGTCTCTTTACATATAATAAGCATAATCATTTCACGATTTTATCTGACAATTGTAATTTCTGAGGACTGTGAGGGCCTGCTCCCGCTGCCTCTCTCCCCTGCTAGTTCCCACTTGGAATGCTGTGTTTCCTTGTGGACGAGTTAATGCTGACTGAGGGCTGCCTGCTGCCCTTGAATGATTATTTGCAGAGACTCTCCGAAGCTGAAGAAGAAGGAATTTCCCTCTGGGAGGATGCGTATTTGCTTCTTCCAGATTCTTGGGAGTGCTACCAGCCAGAATCAAAGGGTGAGGCTTCTCCATGACCTCACTGATATTTGGGCTACAAGTCTGCCCAATGATCAGCCTTATGTGAGCTCTCCACCATGATTCCCAAGGCTCACTAGCAACTAGCTGACCAAAGCCTGCATAAGCTTTTTGGCTTAAGGGAAACCAAGAGATTAGAGCCAGGGGTAGAAAGAAATGGAGCCATGTTGGGTAGGTCTTACTTCCAGAATCCTTGAATTGGTTTTAAAGTTGCATGTATGTCTGTAAGCTTTATGACAACACATCCTATGGTACAACTTTTAACTAAAGAGTAAGCCATTAAAGGAGATTTTTTTATGTTTAGATGCATTTAGCAGGCATAGTTTTGAGCAACTGAGAAAGCAAAGTATTGTGGATTATCAGATTACCAGATTATAAAATTAAATCAAACTATAACACAGCACAAGGATGAGTTTTCTTTTTCAAATTAATTCAAAACTATTGCCGGGCTCTAAAGCTGAGAGAAAATAATTTGACATGCTGAATTGTACTTGAGTAACAAAGAAGTGAGTACATACCCTTGTGAAGCCAGCAGCAATGAGGGACATTACACATGACTCTTCTCTATCTACCCTTTAAAAGAACAAGTAAACGGTTAGAGACAGTTTTTTCTAATCAGTTACATCTCACATCTTTATTTACTAATTTATATAATATTATCATTGGCATATAATGAATACTTTTAGATGAATTAGATTAACATACAAATCAAATGCACAAAGTTAAAACAATTTTCTGTATTAGTTTCACACTGGCTTTTTGACAATAGATACAAATGCTTGAAATATAGAGATTACACTAAGAGCCAGAACACAGGAGTGAGCATGTAGCTATGTGATATGTATAAATTTTAAACTGAATTATTTTTATTCTTTTCTTACCTCCCATTTTAAAATGAAACATAAGGTTCCCCCAATTATGTATAATGTAAATTCTCATAGATATTTGGAGTTAGAAGTCCCTAAGAAGTATATCCGGAAAACATTCATACTTCAGGAATGGCATTCTCCCTTGGTTGGCCCTTTTCTAAAGTGAAAGACAGTCCAAAATCACAAAACCTAGTGTTAAAGTACAAACTCCAGCTCTGAATTTAACTGCCAAAATGAAAGAAAATAAGAAAGAGGAAAAGGCCAAACTAGAAGGGTGATGCCTGTCACAGGCCACAAGCTGTTATTCAGGCCTCTGTTAAGAACACACATTACACTGACATCTGAACTTCAACACTTAAAAAAGAAAAATATCTTACCTGCGTACTACACCAATAATAACTGTGTTTTCTGAGAGTTTTGATGATCTGATAGACCTTTAAAAAAAAAGTTTTAAAATAAATTTAAAGCAATTCTTTAAAAACTAAACACACCTAAACCTAAATTTTGGTAGGACAGTTAAAGTTGGGGGAGAGCGAAAGACCCCTCCACACTCTGGAGAAACCTTCTTGGCTAACCTGACCTTTCTTTCTTCAGGGGACAAACTGCTAACCAGTGGCCCATGGTGACCCTCACAATTACGGAGCATGAAGACAGCAGCCAGCTCTGATGACATGCCTTCTACTTGTTCTTGTTCTGGTCTGAGCTGTTTCAGGTGGAGAGTCTTCCGTGCCTGGGGAATCTCCCTTACATGAGAAGGGCCACTAGTCTCTTCCTATCAAAGGAAGATGCAGGTCTACATGAATCACAGCCAGCGGATGGCGACCATTACAGTGGGGATGAGGCAGCCCGAGGGCCAGCTCTCCACTGCATTCTAAGCAGTGCAGAGAAGGGCTCCCAAGCAGGATGCAGGCAAAACAGTAACAATAAATATTTAAAACTCAGAAATGCAAAATATTCTTATCCATCAGAAAGAGGAGAATCAAACCCGACAGGAAAAATTAAGGACAGAAGACTGACGAAGAAAAGTAGAAGACACTGCTCTACTGAAGTTACCCAAGGAGTATGAGGCCGCCCTTGGATGGCAAGGAGATCAAACCAGTCACTCCTGAAGGAAATCAACTCTGAATATTCACTGGAAGGACTGATGATGAAGCTGAAGTTCCAATGCTTTGGCCACCTGATGTGAAGAGCCAACTCACTGGTAAGGACCTTGATGCTGGGAAAGATTAAGGGCAGGAGGAGAAAAGGATGACAGAAGATGAAGTGGTTGCATGGTATCACTGATGCAATGGACATGAGTTTGAGTAAACTCTGGGAGATAGTGAAGGACAGGGAAGCCTGGCTGTTCATGGGGAAGACTGTGCTACAGTCCACGGTGTTGCAAAGAGTTGGACAAGACTTAACAACTAAACAACAAGGCTGCCAAAGGGACTGAATTTAACCCTTCTGGAGAAGCAGCTAGCAAGGAAGCCATGGGGAATGAAAATTCAGCCAAGAGATGAGAGAGGGCAGAGATAAACATGATGCAGAAGAGCAGAAGCAATATAAACTGCCCACTGAGATGTGCAATGGCTCTGACCCACCCTACACTGCAGGAAAGAGAAGGACTCTCTGGAGAAGAAGAGCCAGGCCACAGGAAGGGGGAGGAACTTGGCCCCTGGCCTGGAAGGAAAAGATGCATATAAGAGGGTAACTGCAGATGGAAAGGTATGCAGAGGGCTGGATTTGGACTCCCCCTGTCAAGACAGAAGCAAGCTGGCCCTTGGAGGATGTGTCCACGATGGGACAGAGAAGAGCCAAGACTCACTGCCTGACTTCAGTTCTGCTGGTTCAAGAATCACTTGTGAAAAAAAAAAAAAAGAATCACTTGTGTCACTTCTGAATCACAGAATACAGAAAATGACTGGCGTGACTATTTCTCCACTGTCCCGAGGATGACACATAACATAACCTTTCCAGATGTATAAGGGAAAAGTCAAGTCATCATATGCAAAGGATGCCTCAGTTTGGGCAAAATTTTTTTGCAGAGGGCCAGACAGTAAGTATTTTAGGCTTTTCATGTCATATGGACTCTGTCAAAAGTACTCAATCCTGCCCCTGAAGCATGAGAGCAGGCACACACAATACATAAATGAATGGGCTTGCCTGTGTTCCCCTGTGCCTACCCCTGCCTCAGGGTATTGAGGCTAAGTTTTCTTCTGGAGCTCAGGAGGAGCAAGGCTTAGAATCTAAACAGTATATGCAGAGTAGCTCTGGGGTCGGGAAGCTGCTCAGGGATGGAGACACTTCTCCATCTCCAGGAAACAGCCAGTCTCTCTCATGGGCCACACGGCTCATAACACATACACACACTCTGTCAACACTTTTGCTTTTCCCAGTGTCCACTCTAGTCCTATAGCTTCCATTTCTGCCTAGTATCTCCAGAGGGAACCAACTTAAAGGGCGCTCCTTGCATGGCTCTATCAGGGAGGTCACTGGAGGGCCTCCTGACCAGGCCCCAGTCCCATCGTGGTTGCCTGCCTGGAACAGAGCCGAGTTTACCTTCCTGGAGCAGGAGCCATGGAAAGGGCTGTGTGAGCTCAGAAGCATAAATGGCATGGCAGACACTCACACAGACGGGCCCCAGCCACTTTTCAAACCTGCTGGCTGATATTCACCCCAGCACTAACCTTAAACAGGGAATGAAAGATGTGGACTCACAAATAGTAGTTCCATGGTTTCTTAGGACATTTCTAGTTGTTCATCTGTTTATATTTCTATCATATCATGAAGATTTAGAGGGAGAAATGGCAACTTTGAAGTATGCCACCAGCCACCTCAAACCAGCTCGTCTTTTTACAGGAGAAACAGAGATCTGAGTGGTAACAGAGCAGGGAGGCAACCACACAGATGACCTCAGTAAGCAGGTCGGGACACAGGGATAAGGGACATGGGGCTGAGGACAAAGTGCAAGGAAAGACTATGTTTCCCAGAGACAAGCCCATCCCTCCAAAGGAGGTCTAAAACTGTATGAAAAGGCAGGGGTGGTGTCCACTCTCACCACTATTATTCAACATAGTTTTGGAAGTCCTAGCTACAGCAATCAGAGAAGAAAAAGAAATAAAGGAATCCAGATTGGAAAAGAAGTAAAGCTCTCATTGTTTGCAGATGATGTGATATTATACATAGAAAGCCCTGAAGATACTATCAGAAAACTACTAGAGCTAATCAGTAAATTTAGCAAAGTTGCAGGATACAAAATCAATACACAGAAATCACTTGCATTCCTATATACTAACAATGAAAAATCAGAAAGAGAAGTTAAGGTATCAATCCCATTCACCAATGCAACAAAAAGAATAAAATATCTAGGAATAAACCTACCTAAGGAAACAAAAGAACTATATACAGAAAATTATCAGACACTAATGAAAGAAATCAAAGATGACATAAACAGATGGAGAGATACTCCATGTTCCTGGGTAGGAAGAATCAATATTGTGAAAATGACTATACTGCCAAATGCAATCTACAGATTCAATGCAATCCCTATTAAATTACCAATTTCATTTTTCACAGAACTAGAACAAAAAATTTCACAATTCATATGGAAACACAAAAGACCCTGAATAGCCAAAGCTGTTTTGAGAAAGAAGCATGGAGCTGGAGGAATCAACCTTCCTGATTTCAGATTATACTACAAAGCTACAGTCATCAAGACAGTATGGTACTGGCACAAAACAGAAATACAGACCAATGGAACAAGATAGAAAGCCCAGAAATAAACCCACACACCTACAGGTACCTTATTTTTGACAAAGGAGGCAAGAATATACAATGGAGCAAAGATAGCGTCTTCAATAAGTGGTGCTGGGAAAACTGGACAGCTACAGGTAAAAGAATAACATTAGAACACTTTCTAACACCATACACAAAGATAAACTCAAAATGGATTAAAGACCTAAATGTAAGAAACTATAAAACTCATAGAGGAAAACATAGGCAGAACACTCGATGACATAATCAAAGCAAGATCTTCTATGACCCACCTCCTGAAAGACTGAAAGCTGCTCAGTTGTGTCTGACTCTTTGTGACCCCACAGACTATACAATCCATGGAATTCCCCAGGCCAGAATACTGGAGTGAGTAGCCTTTCCCTCCAGGGTATCTTCCCAAACCAGGGATCAAACCCAGGTCTCCTGTATCGCAGGCAGATTCTTTACCAGCTGAGCCACAAGGCAAGCCCAAGAATACTGGAGTGTGTGTAGCCTATCCCTTCTCTAGGAGATCTTCCCAACCCAGGAATCAAACCAGGGTCTCTTGCACTTCAGGTAGATTCTTTACCCCAGCTCCTAGAGTAATGGAAATAAAAACAAAACAAGTGGGACCTAGTTAAACTTAAAAGCTTTTGCACAGAAAAGGAAATGATAAACAAGATGAAAAGACTCCTCTCAGAATGGGAGAAAACAATAGCAAATGAAAAGATTGACAAAGGATTAATTTCCAAAATATACAAGCAGCTCATACAACTCAATACCAGAAGAAAAAAAAAAAACAATCAAAAACTGGGAAAAAGACCTAAACAGACATTTCTTCAAAGACATACAGGTGGCTAACAAACAGAGGAAAAGATGCTCAACATTGCTCATTATCAGTGAGATGCACATCAAAACTACAATGAGGTATCACCTCAAACTGGTCAGAATGGTCATCATCAAAAAGTCTACAAACAATAAATGCTGGAAAGCGTGTGGAGAAAAGGAAACCCTCTTGCACAGTTGGTGGGAATATAAACTGATACAGCCACTATGCAAGACGGTATGGAGATTCCTTAAAAAACTGGGAATAAAACCACCATATGACCCAGCAATCCCACTCCTAGGCATATACTCTGAGGAAACCAAAATTGAAAAAGACACATGTACCCCAATGTTCACGGCAGCACTATTTACAATAGCTAGAACATGGAAGCAACCTTGATATCCATCAACAGACGAATGGATAAAGAAGTCGTAGAACATAAATACAATGGAATATTACTCAGCCATAAAAAGGAACACAATTGAGTCAATTCTAATGAGGTGGATGAACCTAGAGCCTATTATGTAGACTGAAGTCAGTCAGAAAGAGAAAGAGAAACACTGTATACTAACACATATATATGCAATCTAGAAAGATGGTACTGATGAATTTATTTGCAAGGCAGCAGTGGAGAAACAGAGAACACTTATGGACATGGGGAGAGGGAAGAGAGGATGAGATGTATGGAGAGAGTAATATGAAGACTTACACTACCATATGTAAAATAGATAGCCAATGGGAATTTGCTGTATGTCTCAGAGAACTCAAACTGGGGCTCTGTATCAACTGAGAGAGGTGGGATGGGGAAGGAGATGGGAGGGAGGTTCAAGAGGGAGGAGACATATGTATACCTATAGCTGACTCATGTTGGTG